TAATACTTTTGTTTATAAAATACATAATAATAAACATTAAATTGTAATAATTAACGTTACAGCCGATCACTCCGAATATTGACCATTACGCACTTAATATTGACCGCCTATGCTCCAAATACTGACCAGTAGTATTATGCTTACTAGACTTATAAATAACTTTTATTTTTAAGCTATAATAGTTGCGACATTAGGTTATCTATTCACTGACATGTAAATAATTGAAGTATTGTTGTTGTTTTGTATTCTGATACAATATCATCTTCAGTACTCATATTTAAATCAATGGCCGAAGCCATACTAATATTAGGTACATTCGATAATTTACAACACCAATTGTTGACCAGAGTATTATTTCAATTATTAACATAATTTTTCTAACAAAAATTATTGATAATAAATCTTCGATAATTGTTTTGACAAATACTTTTTGATTGAATATGAAGAATTTAATTTTTTATAAATTGATCACTAATGTGCCTACCAAACTCGGCGAGGTTCTAATGACTCATTTTTAAAACTTTTTGACATTTATACACAAACTTTTTTTTTTATAACAACTGCAAATATTTGATTGCGCAAATTTTTATTTAAACTATAATTAAAGATTGATAATTTCTAGGGCCAAAATGTTTGTTGGAATTTTAAAATAAATGGTTCAAATTTTTAATATTACAGCAAAAATATTGGTCTTATACAAAAATTTATTCAATAAAAGTTGTTTAAAATTTAATTTTATATAAAAAATCTTTCTCATGATTTTTTAAAAAAATGTTTTTGTTGTAATTCCAAAATTAAGATTTATAAATAATAGATTCAAATTTTATGATAATTATGAATCTTACTTTTGAAAGTACGGTGAAATTATTGATCCTTAGAAAAAAAAACTCAATTTTTTTTAAGAATAATTAAAAATTGATTATTACGTAGAGTATAAAATAAAATTACTAGATTTTTCTAAATAAAATTGTTATGATGTCTGGTCAATATTTGGTTCCTTTATCTTAATAATCTTATAATGTAACTCCAAATAATTCAACCACAGAATATTTTAATAGCGAAAAAAAATTATGCTCATATTTATTTTTTAGGGTAATTTCCAAATAAATTTTTTATAAAAATTTATTCTTTGGATTTTTCTGTTTGATATCAATCCACTTAAAAATTTCAAAAAATTTTAATCCTCCCTAAAATTTCAAATTGAATTTTATCCAAGAATATTTTTAATTTTTTTTATTAATTGATAACTCAAAAATAGCTCGGAGTATATAAAATATTTTCAATGTTTTATTTACTCAAAAAAAAAAGTATAATTAAAAATTGATAATTACTGAATGTAAAATTAAATTACTAGATTTTTTAAAATCAATTTATACTGCCTTATTAATATTTAGTTAAAATAATAAAAAATAAAAATTATATTAAAATTAGCAGTCACTTGACCATTTTATAATTTTTTTAACAAACAAATTTATTCCAAAAAATAATAAAAAAAAAATTGAATTTTTAATTTTTTTTAATTTCTACATGTCAATTTTTTTTTTTACAATTTATTTGTTAAAAAAATTCTAAAATAAATTTTCATAAAATAAATAAAATAAATTACCTGCAATTGAAGTCAATTGTGTACCGCGGACTTCACCATAAAAATTATTACCAACTTGTTCGAAGCGTCCTTGTATATCTAATTTATCTTTTTCATTATTAACCCGAACAAGAACAAACTCTCCTTTCCCGTTAAACGTGTAAGCCACGTTGTCAAAGGTTACAATATGAGGATCACCAAAGACCGCAGCGACTGCAGGTGATTGATAGGCAATACAATCTTGAGATGGTCTTCTCTCAAATCGCAATGTTTCACAGCCCACTGCTTGTTCTTCTTGCCACATACAACAAGTGTACATAGGCACAACATCATGATACCAGTGTGAAAGACTCGGTACTTTGTTGGCTTCATTCCACGGTAAATATCCAAGATTATGAGAACGTTGCGGCTTAGATCCCCATTGCTGGTCGTATGATAACATTAAGAACTCATTTTTGTCATAACAACATTGTTGCTCTGAACCTTCTAAGCTGTTGAATTAAATTATACATCGCGTTACTTATGCCACAAGAGCGTATAAAAAAATTTTTTTTTTTATAATCAACTAGGGAATGTATAAAAGTAAAAATTTGGTTGAAAAACGCAAAAAAATTTTTTTTCAACTAAAAAATAGTCAAAATAGCTTCTAAGGAGCTTGAAACGTCGAGATCTAACGAAAAATTAATTTTTGGAAGTGAGACTAAAAATTAACAAATCCCAATTTTAAAAAATTTTTAATTTTTGGTTATTATGCAGAAGTGCATGGGGCTCCACTTATTTTAGATTAAATTGAAATAAATAAATTTTTAAAAATTTTTGATTTGAGATAACTTGAAAATTTTTTATTGAAAAAATTACTGTGACAAAAATTTTGACTAGTTGAAAATTAAAATTGTTGAAAATTAAAAAAAAATAATTTTTTAATGCAAAACTCCATTTATTTCAAAAGTAATTTTTCTTGGGAAATTTTTTTTCGTTCAAGAAAAAAACTATTTCTTTTTTGATCACATTGAGAAAAAAATTAATTAATTTGTTGAAAATTTTAGAGAATTTTAATTCTTTGCTGAAGAAATAAGAATTTTTTTACAGTAATTTTTTGGTTGAAAAAAAGGTAACTATGCAGAAATGGGGCTCCACCTAATTTTGATAAAATTGAAATAAAAAAAAAAAATCGAAAAATTGATCTTTATGATTTTTTTTTTTTTTTTTTTCAAATTGTTCTTCATCACGGCGGATTTATGATAAAAATTCTGAAAATTAAATGTTTTGATATTTTTTTTTTTCATTTGAAAGTTAAAAAATTTACAATTTAAAAAATTTTCAAATGATATTCTGAATTTTTTTTATAATTTACTCTATTTTTATCGCTCTTTAAGAAAAAAAATATTTCAATAACCAGAAAAAATAGTATTGTCACCATTTCATTGAAAAACACCCAAAATTGTAAATTTTGAACTTTCAAATGAAAAAAAAAAAATCCATCAAAATATTTTATTTTCATACTTTTTGTCATTTTATCATGAATCCGCCGTGGAGAAGAACAATTTTAAAAAAATCAATTTTTCGACTTATTACACTCAAAAATAGGTGGAGCTCCACTTCTGCATAATTACCAAAAATTAAAAATTTTAAGAAATTGTGATACGTTAATTCTCAATTTCACTTTCAAAAACTAATTAAAATAAAATTTTTAGCTTCTCTTGACAAAAATTGACGATTTCAAAAAATTGGGCTATAATAATATTTACAGTTTAATTTCCAAAAATTATTTTTTTACCAAGTCTTGACGTTCGCAGGTTCTTAGAAGTTTCTTTGACTATTTTTTGACACATGTCCTTTTGGCTTTAAGAATTTTTTTTCTTATAGTCAAAACAGCATATGTTGAAAAAAAAATTTTTTTTGCATTTTTTATCCCGAATTTTACTTTTATACACTCCTTTAATTAAAATATTTTATTATCTTAAAATTATTTATTATATAATTACTTTGGTGTTCCTGTTTTAACGCAGTGTATCGCTCCGTAGTTATAGAAACATTCAGGGTTCGAATCTTTGTCGCAGTCCAAGTCTGGTAGAAAACGGCCTTTATCGTAAAGAGCATGTTCTAATTTACAAGGGCACAGAGAAACTTCAGCGGCAAAATTTTTGAGGTATCGATCATTTTTTATCCACTCATTACAGAGTTCTTGGGGCCATTTAGTGCCGTATGTACGTTCCCATTGAGGACCAAAATACCATGCCAAAGGAATCGGCTTACTCCATAATTGTCTGAAAAAAAATTAAATTCTCAAAAATAGCAACAAGAAGAAATATTAAATAAAAGTAATTAATGCAAACAACAAAATTTATTTATTAATTTATTTTACTTAAAAATCGCATAGAAAAAAATTATTCTTATTTTATTTTATACTCTAATTTTATAGAGAAGTTTATTATACCAGAAGGAACTTTAATGCGTTATTGATTTTGATACAGTAGTAAGAATTTTTCATGCTCATTATTTTTAATCGTACCGCTCGAGTTTCTTATAATAACTATCAGTCACTGATATAAATATCGTTGGGAAATAAATAATTAGAATACATTCTGGATTTAACTTTACAGATAATCAAATACGTATTATAATTAGCTTTTTCTTATAGATGTCCACTTTAAAGTCTTCAATATAAAATCAATACGAGTGTATTTATTCGCACTTAAAATAGCATGAATTTTCCCGTTTTTAAATAATTGTGAAGAGATAAAATTATTTTTACTATATTTCAACACCTAAATTAACGGGTGACAAAATTTTCATTTCTCTCTTAATTACATAGATTATTATTAAATACTTTGAAATTGATATTTAATCGCTTTAATTGACTTAATTTTACTATGAACTTTAATTACACTTACGGTGTTAATTCCAAGCCATAATATTCCGTTGGGTTTGTTAAATTTATTTGGATGAACCCAAACTGCATGTCTAATTGAGACGGCATTTCACGATTGCGATATGATGCTGGGATTATAATATACTCTCCGGTATTTGTTGTTCCTTTCTAAAAAAATGAATATTCATTCAAGCTTCATTTTACACCAGATAAGGTAAAAGCCCCTAATATTGACAGGGCCCCCACTATTGACACCCTATTTAATTTTATTATTTAATTAAAATTATCTTTTAATAATCACAATTGTTGATAGGGTAAATGCACCAATTATTGACCGATTAAGGTTTTCTTTTTCTGTACTAAGCTATAAAAAATCTATTAACCTACTAAAACCAATTTATAATGGATTTTATTAAAGTTAAATATTTAATTAATAATAATTAATAACTATTTATATTAAAAATTAACAAAATTATATTAATTTTGTTATTTGAATCTTGAAATACTAAAATCACCAATTATTGACCGAACAAACCCAATAAATGACCGACCGTTCTCCAATTAATTGACCGCTCAAACGATTATAAGTAATTTTGTAAACTACATGTATGTAATTAAATATATGCAGTACTTTTAAAGTATTAACGACATCTTTAACAAAACTAAACATACAATATAATTTTAAATCGTACTTTTTTATGAAATAATATAAATAATAGCAATAATTAACATAAAGTCACATTTCTTTAGGTCACAAATAATCACAAATTCATTTTAATGACGATAATTCTTCTGATTCACTTGAAATTTTTTTATTCTTCACCTTCTTTTTTTCAATTAAAGCTTTTTTACTAGCTTGTGACTCTTTTTTATTTTTTTAATTGCTTAGCAATTTTTTCTTCTAATAATTCGTTCTTTGATATAACCGTTCACTAAAAAAATTAGAACAAAATAAAATTTAATAATCAAAAAAGATTTTAAGTATTATTTTAATTATAAATATACGTTTTATAATGATTATTTTTATATTTACAAAATATTAAATGACTAAAGTACTTTAAAAACTTGACAGATTTAATTTTGGAGTTAAGAAGTTAGTATTATAATTATACGGACATTAATTGGATTGTGATAAAATCAGAGGGTCTAATAAATGACCGAATGAATTTTTTACTGGGTAAAGGGCTTCTGACGGATCCAATAGTTGACCGGTCTTAAAATAATATTAAAACTTATAATTTAACTTTATTTTTTCAAAAAAGTTGGAATCTGATCTTTAATTAATAACATGATAAAACTAAAATATTTTATATTATGCCGATAAATATCACTAAATTAATGATGAAATGCACTCACTCTCCAATTGTATGCTAGTTATTTTTGACCGCTTTATGGCTGGTTGTGTTGTAAACAAACTCAGAATATTTTTTTAAAGCTATAATCACTGCGCAATTAATTGCGTAATTTTTTATTATGATGATTAAATGCCATATTTTTTTATTTTAATCCTTTAAGAAAAAAAAACCCTTGTAAAATATTAATTAATTAACTTTTTTAACGTATTTAGTGTGCGTTGTTGCGAAATATTTTACTTTTAATTAAATTCGTAAAATCTATTTAATAGGACTTTAAAAAAATTGAAATGCACAATATGACGCACACCAAGTACGTTCCAAAATTGTTTTTTTAATTTTTAAATTTACAAAAAAATTTTTTTTAATTTCCGAAAATCATAAACAATCATATATCGGTTACTTGGATTTTTTAATTTTTTAATTTTATATCTTTTTGTAAAGAAAAAAACCAATTTTTTTTTCTTAATAGTCTTATGAACATGGACTTGGCGCAATTTTTTTACAGTGAAACTGTTTTTGTTCGGATATAGGTATACAGTCTTGTAGTTTTCGTTTTTTTTATTAATTGTAATTAAACGACACTGAATTAATTAATCATTCGCATTCAGTGAC